TGATTTATAGTTCCGTCTAGATGACGAATTATTGTCTTACAGTAGTATTATTAAGAATTCTAAAACAAATACACGTGCAAGCTGGCATCAGTAAAGTAGGTCCTTTATGTCTTTTCCTCTTTTGCATCTGCTTTACATACTAAAATAATTGAAGCGACTAAACAGTGTTAGCTTACAACCAGTCAAAAATCGCAAAGCCAACCCAAGTAACTGCAGCGAGATCACACATATAAACGTCATCTCATTTTCTTGTTGTGCGCATGTGTCCCATAATGAATAAGTCACGTGAGTGTGTAAGATGAAATGAAGAACTCGCTGCGATTTGACGTCATTCGTAGTGCTGCGTCAAAAAAACGCCAAATAATTAACTAAATTATCAATCTTTCTGTGCACTTTAACATGAGTTGAATTGTTTTATATTTATAAGTCTGTCATGAAATGGATAGATAATAAAGTGACAGATTAATTAGCGTGTAAATATTGGCATAATAGGTTGTCAATCGAAAACTTCCTTTTTAGGTACTTCGCCTAATCAGAGACAAGCCGCTTATGTACGAAGGGACTTCAGTAATCCCATTTTGGTAATTAGAGGCTATGATAAGCTTAGTTTAAAACAACTTTAGCCTACCTAAATTCCTCCAGGTGCAACACTAAAATGGATATTATTTATACACTTCGGTTGTAATATTGCCCTGTGGATTTCCACAAGAATATGATATTAATCAACATCCATATAATCATTATGGTAAGTTTTAATGTGTGATACTACAAAGTTTATATAGTTGACATGTGCCATTGCCCAGTAGACCACTACAAAAGTATTATTATTCATGCACCTAGAGTTAAAATACCATCACCATGGATGTTCGATTTTTTTCTCCCCTAACTGAAAGAATATTTGAGTTCACTCAAACAATTTTGTTGCTTTTGCGGTGTCCTTGTTTACTTTTACAACATTTGGTCAAATCATGTTTCTTTGGTCAAAACTAGTCTTGTCCTTGGGTCAGTTTATTGTATGAAAAAAAAACTTAAAAAACTGTTTTCTCAGTTAAAACAAAGACTGGTGCATAGATATATGTATCATTGTAAATTCGATCACTACCAACTTCATTCAAATCATGATTGACTTTGCGCGAAGTCTTTTTTTTAAAATACCTTTATCTTTGAAATGTAATGCTTAAACGTCTCGTATTTGGTAGGTATTATCGTCTAATTAGCCTTTACCATAATTGATGAAATCTGATTAGATATCAGTTGACCCTGAAGACCTATTTCTCTTTTTCCGAGTCTTGTTTAATAACATACACAATTAATTCTTGGTCGCTAAATGAATGCCATAAAGTCTTGGTCGCTAAATAAAAGTCATAAAGTCTTGGTCGCTAAATAAAAGTAATAAATTCTTGGTCGCAAAATAAAAGTCATAAAGTCTTGGTCGCTAAACAAAAGTAATTAAGTCGTGGTCGCTAAATAAAAGTCATAAAGTCTTGGTCGCTAAATAAAAAGTAATAAATTCTTAGTCGCTAAATAAAAGTCATAAAGTCTTGGTCGCTAAACAAAAGTAATTAAGTCTTGGTCGCTAAATAAAAGTCATAAAGTCTTGGTCGCTAAATAAAAAGTAATAAATTCTTGGTTGCTAAATAAAAGTCATAAAGTCTTGGTCGCTAAGCAAAAGTAATTAAGTCTTGGTCGCTAAATAAAAGTCATTGAGTCTTGGTCACTAAATAAAAGTAAAAAAGTATTGGTCGCTTAATAAAAGTCATTAAGTCTTGGTCGCTAAACAAAAGTCATTAAGTCCTGGTCGCTAAATAAAAGTCATTAAGTCTTGGTTGCTAGATAAAAGTCATTAAGTGTTTGTCGCTAAATAAAAGTCATTAAGTCTTGGTCGCTAAATAAAAGTCATTAAGTCTTGGTCGCTAAATAAAAGTCATTTAGTTTTGGTCGCTAAATAAAAGTTATAAAGTCGTGGTCGCTAAATAAAAGTCATTAATTCTTGGTCGCAAAATAAAATTCATAAAGTCTTGGTCGCTAAACAAAAGTAATTAAGTCTTGGTCGCTAAATAAAAGTCATTAAGTCTTGGTCGCTAAATAAAAGTCATTAATTCTTGGTCGCAAAATAAAAGTCATAAGGTCTTGGTCGCTAAACAAAAGTGATTAAGTCTTGGTCGCTAAATAAAAGTCATGAAGTCTTGGTCGCTAAATAAAAGTCATTCAGTCTTGGTCGCGTACTAAAAGTAATTAAGTTTGGTCGCTCAATATAAGACATTAAGTCTTGATCGCGAGATAAAAGTCATTAAGTTTTGATCGCTAAATAAAAGTGTTTAAGTCGTGGTCGCTAAATAAAAATCATTAAGTCTTGGTCGCTAAATAAAAGTCATAAAGTCTTGGTCGCTAAACAAAAGTAATTAAGTCATGGTCGCTAAAAAAAGTCATTAAGACTTGGTCGCTTAATAAAAGTCATTAAGTCTTTGCCGCTAAATAAAAGTCATTAAGTATTGGTCGCTAAATAAAAGTAATTAAGTCTTGGTCGCTAAATAAAAGTTATAAAGTCTTGATCGCTAAATAAAAGTCATAAATTCTTGGTCAAAAAATAAAAAAAAACATTCAGTCTTGGTCGCTAAATAAAAGTCATTAATTTTTGGTCGCAAAATAAAAGTCATAAAGTCTTGGTCGCTAAACAAAAGTAATGAAGTCTTAGTCGCTAAATAAAGTAATTAAGTCTTGGTCGCCAAATAAAAGTCATAAATTCTTGGTCGCAAAATAAAAGTCATAAAGTCTTGGTCGCTAAACAAAAGTGATTAAGTCTTGGTCGTCGCTAAATAAAAGTAAAAAAGTCTTGGTCGCTAAATAAAAGTCATTAAGTCTTGGTCGCTAAATAAAAGTCATTTAGTTTTGGTCGCTAAATAAAAGTTATAATGTCGTGGTCGCTAAATAAAAGTCAGTAATTCTTGGTCGCAAAATAAAAGTCATAAAGTCTTGGTCGCTAAACAAAAGTAAGTAAGTCTTGGTCGCTAAATAAAAGTCATTAAGTCTTGGTCGCAAAATAAAAGTCATAAAGTCTTGGTCGCTAAACAAAAGTAAGTAAGTCTTGGTCGCTAAATAAAAGTCATTAAGTCTTGGTCGCTAAATAAAAGTCATTAATTCTTGGTCGCAAAATAAAAGTCATAAGGTCTTGGTCGCTAAACAAAAGTGATTAAGTCTTGGTCGTCGCTAAATAAAAGTCATTAAGTCTTGGTCGCTTAATAAAAGTCATGAAGTCTTGGTCGCTAAATAAAAGTCATTCAGTCTTGGTCGCGTACTAAAAGTAATTAAGTTTGGTCGCTCAATATAAGACATTAAGTCTTGATCGCGACATAAAAGTCATTAAGTTTTGATCGCTAAATAAAAGTGTTTAAGTCGTGGTCGCTAAATAAAAGTCATTAAGTCTTGGTCGCTAAATAAAAGTCATAAAGTCTTGGTCGCTAAACAAAAGTAATTAAGTCATGGTCGCTAAAAAAAGTCATTAAGTCTTGGTCGCTTAATAAAAGTCATTAAGTCTTTGTCGCTTAATAAAAGTCATTAAGTATTGGTCGCTAAATAAAAGTAATTAAGTCTTGGTCACTAAATAAAAGTTATAAAGTCTTGATCGCTAAATAAAAGTCATAAATTCTTGGTCAAAAAATAAAAAAAAACATTCAGTCTTGGTCGCTAAATAAAAGTCATTAATTTTTGGTCGCAAAATAAAAGTCATAAAGTCTTGGTCGCTAAACAAAAGTAATGAAGTCTTAGTCGCTAAATAAAGTAATTAAGTCTTGGTCGCCAAATAAAAGTCATAAATTCTTGGTCGCAAAATAAAAGTCATAAAGTCTTGGTCGCTAAACAAAAGTGATTAAGTCTTGGTCGTCGCTAAATAAAAGTAAAAAAGTCTTGGTCGTCGCTAAATAAAAGTCATTAAGTCTTGATCGCTAAATAAAAGTCATTCAGTCTTGGTCGCTAAATAAAAGTCATTAAGTCTGGTCGCTAAATAAAATACATTAAGTCTTGGTCGCGACTTAAAAGTCATTAAGTTTTGATCGCTAAATAAAAGTCATTAAGTCTTGGTCGCTAAATAAAAGTCATTAAGTCTTGGTCGCTAAATAAAGGTAATTAAGTCTTGATTGCTTAATAAAAGTCATTTAGTCTTGATTGCTAAATAAACGTTATAAAGTTTTGGTCGTCATTTAATCTTGTTTGATACTCTGCTACTTTAGAAATTATCGTAAATGAAAACTAATGATTATTGCTCATTTCATTTGAGATTTTGTTCCACATCTATTTTAGATTCTATCTATTATTTTAAAGTATTTTTCATCGAATTTGCTAAAAAACATTTGTTTATTTCATGTAGTTTTCATTAAATGGCACCAACTCAACGTTAATAACAATAATAAATTTAGTCGAATGCTTTGACCTTTAAGTTAAAGTTTCTATTTGAGAATAATAAAATCAGATTTATGACTATACAACGAATTGAATGAGAGTTACCCTATTTTACTTATTTTAATTGAAGACACTGTTAGCACAGTTTTCTTTTGTTATTGAATACTTATGTTGATATAAATTGTTATCTATATAACAAAAGATAATGAGAAGTATTCATGTTTTATCATTATTAATGTCACCCTCGATTATTGTTTTACCAACATTCAACAAAACGGTAGTAATTTTGATATCCCAAACTACAATAAATGAAATTCAGTTTAGTTTTGAATATTTTTACTAGATATTTATTTTGATTGATCACATACAATGAGTATTGAATCACTTTATCTTTAAAAACAGTTGTTTTTTCATTTACTGAATTAGAATAATAGCGTCTTTATCTGAATAATTTGACAGAAACACAATCTGACAACAATTCCATTTAAAATATCGACATTACAAACATAAATTGTCTTTATTATTATGATTACTATTCAAGCATAACTACATGCAAAACAATTTTTTAATTTCTAAAATAACCTGTACGTTTCATCCCTTAACAGAAATGGCTTTAACAAAGATGTAACAAATCAAGAAGTAAACAAAATGGCAACCGGAGGTCAACCACAGACGACAGACAACCGTGTATTTTTGTTTCGGTTACAAATACTAGTCATTGATGGCGGCCTCCTGGTATTGAGAAATATACTGGATCAGTCCCTGACATCTCAATGCATAACGTTCAGTGCGTGCTTGAATCAAGAAAAGTCAACAATAACACATTTGAAAAGCCGCGGCGTTATAACCCAGGTCCAATATGACGTGTTGTTTCCAGCGAGTGGTAAAGTCCCAACATCGTCAGATTTGGACATCACGCTTATCATTTGTCTCCTTAGAAACCTGAAATGTTTTGGCTTAAATAAAAAATTTGACTGGAGGGTAACACCAGCACCAACCGATGTAACAATAGAGGCAGACATACGTAGGTTAAAGGATTTCCGAAATAAAGTAAGTGTATTATAAAAGAAGTCAATGCGAAAGACAATTTGAATTCCTGCCTTTGCAATACAAAAGAATAAAAGTAAATCTGATATATATTAACGATATAAATATCTACGTATTTCAAAAGAATTGTTTTATTTTCCAAAGTTAAACTTAAAGAATATAAGAATCGTACACCGACTGCCGGTACATACCGGAATATCTAGCTCAAGGGTAACTGTTTACAGCGTTAACGAGGCTAGATATTCTCGTCTGTACCGACAGCCGGTGTTTGATCCTTTTTCTTACATTTTACCTATCACTTATTTTCAGAACAGAAAATACGAAAACTGATATCATCATTACGCACTTTTTCCTTATAGTAGTGTATCATATCAAAACTATTTTAATATTTAAACACGAATGGGACATCTATTACAACGATAAAATGGTTTTCAAACAATTTTTACATATATGAAAAATACCGTATACCATCAAGTCTCAATAAAGTAAAGATTGCAGACTCCAGATTGTTAGCACGATTACCCTAGTATAATAAAACCTTTATAAATCATTATTAAATAAACCTTACCGTGACTTTTCCGGTGTAAATCAATAGAAAATAGAATTATCTCCTAGATGCAATCAGAATAAACATTAATACATCTCTTTTTCATATGACAATCAACATTTAATTAAAAGCGAAAGTAAATTTTGCGTTATGTCCAACCAATACGCGAAGAGTTCCCGCGCCTCTGCGTGGAACGCTTGTCAAGCCGGTACCCAAACGGTGTACATGCTTTCGACTACTCGAGCATTCAATCGTCATGTCCCGCGTGTTAGTTATCTGCAACACAGTGCACAGTGTACGGTGGCACAAAGGTGACATGTGTGTGTTTTTATTTATCTCGTGGCCACGAGATACTATGTCGTGGCAACGAGATAGCTAAGTCGTGGCCACGAGATAGCTCAGTCGTGGCCACGAGATACTTTGTCGTGGCCACGAGATAGCTAAGTCGTGGCCACGAGTTACTATGTCGTGGCCACGAATTACTAAGTCGTGGCCACGAGATAGCTAAGCCGTGGCCACGAGTTACTAAGTCTTGGCCACGAGATAGCTAAGTCGTGACCACGAGTTACTATGTCGTGACCACGAGTTACTAAGTCGTGGCCACGAAATAGCTAAGCCGTGGCCACGAGTTACTAAGTCGTGGCCACGAGATAGCTAAGTCGTGGTCACGAGATACTATGTCGTGGCCACGAGTTACAATGTCGTGGCCCCGAGATAATTAACCAGTCAGATTAAACCATTTATATGAATTTCCCTAATTAACTAAACATGTGCTATAGTACAAAGATGTCCCTAAGTACTACACCAGCCTGCAAAAGTGCCATTTATACAACTTATTGACTGGTCAATAGTTTTACATTTAGCGTCACTATGACCCTGATTTTTGATCCAATGACCTCGAAATTATAAGATGTCATCTACTGATCAGGTGTAATGATCTTCATGAGTTATATTAATCATGGCTTATCCCTTCTAAATTATTCATCAGACAAGGATTTACCTTATAGGCTACTTTCCATGGGCAATGTCCCTTCCAAATAAAATAAACCAGGACTTATTCCTTCTCATGTTATCGTATAAACAAGGTGAACAGGCCGTAGTACGTACAAACTGACCAATTCGATCAAAAAATTGTCCCAACAAAGAGCTGTAGGCAAAATAAATGTCTGATGAGCCTTGGAAGTGATTTCCTAATATGATCCTAAAGACAAGTTCAAAGTGAATATCTTTAGTGTTTTCAAAGATTAATGTTGCATGTAGAAGTAAGTTATTAAGTTTATAAAAATCATGATATATATATAGTAACTCGTGGCCACGACATAGTATCTCGTGGCCACGAGTTAGCTATCTCGAGGGCACGACTTAGTAACTCGTGGTCACGACATATTAACTCGTGGCCACAAGATAGTATCTCGTGACCACGACATAGTATCTCGTGGCCACAAGATAGTATCTCGTGGCCACGACTTAGCTATCTCGTGGTCACGACTTAATAACTCGTGGCCACGACATAGTATCTCGTGGCCACGACTAAGCTATATCGTGGCCACGACTTAGTAACTCGTGGCCACGACATAGTATTTCGTGGCCACGAGATAAATAAAAACAAACACATGTCACATTTGTGCCACCGTAACAGTGTGTTGTTTCTTAAGTTTTTTTATTCTATATAATGTACAATATAAATATTTGAATTTGGACATGACGATAGAAATATAAAGTAATAAATGTGCATAGGGGTTGTAAGATTGGTTTTTCTAGCACGGGTGTAAAAGGTAGATAATCCTGTCTGATATGCAAGAAAATTTAATTAATCATCATACTTAAAACACACATAATAGAACAACTTTTAATATTGTCTAAAACAGAATTTATTTGGTGTGATGCATATCTTCAAAATAGATGTGCAGTCGTACTAAATATGTTATAACATGAAAATCTTAAACATGAATGTTTTTTAAATATTTTATCCAACATTTCTGACCACATGACATATTGGCTGCCGATAGGACCCTGTCGATAGGGGGCATATCTGTTTTACAAAAATACCTTGTTGTATTTTTTATATTGCACACCAGTCTTTATATCTGAACCACTAATGCGCCATAGTGATGACATCTCAGCACACGCAGCATTTAGACTTGTTTCCGCAAGTGAGTCGCGCGCCAGTCTATTTATGCACATCATGCTAGAGCTCTAGGATATATAAACTGAATTTTTTGTAGAGGTTCTTTGAGTTTATTGGAGTTGAAGAGATGTTTTTGTTGAGTTGAGTTGAGTTGAGTTGAGACTGTTGCTAGTATATAATTATGATACACAATTTTATTTTACTCATTTTAATATCATGCTTTATACAGCCAGTCTGATCTAAATGATAGAAATTTTCAGCGAAAACGTGTTTAGTCAGTTTTCTGTTAAAACAGAGTAATTTCGTAACAATATCATCAAGCTCTATTATATGACACAGTGAAGCGTGTATTGAAATTTTGCTCCTTCTTTAACTTCGGAACACATCGCGTAATCTAAGAGACTGACAGAAATAGTCAATATGTTGCTATTATTGGCAGATGCAATTCAACTAATCAGAAGTTCTTTCTTTCACTACATTTGAACAATTAGATCAATCTTCAATAACTGTAAAAAGACTTCTCGCATGCTTCTTTTTTCAAAGACATGAAAGAAGTAAACTCGTTTTGTAGTGATTTTCCATTTGTACTATTTCCATACAATGTTTTATAGTTTTACATTTTACTTATTTTGGACTTTAAAAATTCGTTTGTTATTATATTTCATCATAAGAAGTGCATTGTGATGTTCTCTACCTATCGTATCATTTGGGTTTTATTCCCTTCATTTTGTCGAAAACAAAACTTGTATAAAGAAATATACGTATAAACAAATTTGGCATTCTACAGTTCTTATTTATTCAAACGTAAAAACGGTCTTTAGTAGTGTACAACAATTCGTATTCAAAATTATCAATGCCTCTCTTGACAATACGGTATGTGTTTTTTGTTGTTGTTGTTGTTGTTGTTGTTGTTTTGAAAGGGGGTGTTTTTGAGACGGAAAAAAGGGTGAGTTACCAATGATTCTGGTAATTTGAGCTCGTATTTGAGGTAAATTACATTGAGTTTTAATTTCAGATAAGTCATATATCAACAACGACTGCAATACAACAAAATGATTTTACAGCTTGGTGGAATGATATTGAACAGGTGAGCAAATTTCGCCTTCATAGTATTATTATTATCTTTGTAACAGTTCAATCCATTTTAAAATGCAGAAAGAGTATTATATATGGTAAATAATGTCTTCTCTGCAAACATTTTATGTAATAATATAATTTAATAATATAATTCATATAAAAAAATGTCCTGCACTGCGTCGAAACAAGCAACGAATGAATTTCAAACGTGCCAATTTCCCTTTTATTTTTTTTCGGATTATTGTTCCATTTGGCGTAGGTCTCCGTTGCTTCCAGATAAAATATTCTGACTGAAAAATGACTTAATATCGGAAAAAGCAACGTATTTCACTAGAATCGGGCTTAGAATAACAAAAACATTCAATTTTGAGCCTACACCAGAGATTATTACTCAGCATTTTTATCTATTAAAGTGCCAGATTTGATCTATGTAAGAAATTCAATTCTGTAGTCCAGTTTTTACGTCCTTATTTGAATTCCTTTGATTGTAAAATAATTTTTGTAAATTTTGTAAATTTCCAACATGATGTGAATGATTTTGACTTATCTCTGCGAAAGCTTGGTGTATTCACACTAAAAAAACATTTACGCTTTTTAAGTATCAGTACTTTAAGTGTGTCACGATTATCAGGTGTCAAGTGCTTTCAGGTTTTCACGATTATCAGGTGTCAGTACTTTTAGTGCGTCACGATTTTCAGGTGTCAAGTGTTTTCAGTGTTTCACGATTTTCAGGTGTCAAGTGCCGACAATGCTTCTCGATTTTCAGGTGTCAAGTACTTTCAGTGTTTCACGAATTTCAGGTGTCAACGACTTTCAGTGTTTCACGATTTTCGTGTGTCAAATACTTTCAGTGTCTCACGATTTCCAGGTTTCAAGGACTTACAGTGTTTCACGATTTTCTGGTGACAAGTACTTTAAGTAATTCACAATTTTCAGGTTTTAAGTACTTTTTACGATTTTTCGCTTTCCAGAATTTTCAGTGCATTACAATTTACAAGTAACTGTTTTTCCAGTCTATCGCAATGTTCAAGTACCAGTTATGTCAGTGCGTTACACTTCCAGGAGTCCAGCTATATCCGTTCATCACAATTTTCAATTACCAGTAATTCCAATATGTCACAATTGTCAAGTTTCGGTAAATTTCATAGTTTTATAAAGTTTAACAATGTTCTGGTTTCCTGTCCATTCGGTGCTTCCCAATTTTCAGGATTCAAATAATTTTTTAAAAAATCACGATTTAAGGGTTTTCAGTAGATCTAGTGCGTCACAGTCTTCAGGTTTTGCAAAACTTTGAGTTCTTCAAGATTGTCAGCTTTTACGTACTTTCAATGCTGCCAAATTTCGATGTTTCTAGTAGTTAGAATGCTACCAAAACTTCAGGTTTTCCAGTACATTCAGTGCTTTAATATTTCAGGTTTCCGATTCTACCAGTGCTTTTCGAAGCTTTCAGTGCATCATGATTTTATCAGTTTCTAGTAGTTTCAGTGTTTTACAATTTCCAGGTTTAAATAACATTCAGTGCTTCACATTTTTTAGGTTTCGAGTACTTTGAGTGCGTCAAATAGATTAGATATTCACAGGAAACATAGTTTAGAAAACGTCTACGAAATTATAACCCTGGTGATAAACTTGTAAACTTGCCACGTTTTGGGGTCATGGATTTTCCTTATTGGGGCTTTACTAGCAACCGTTGTTTCCTATGGCAACTCTCTTTCCTGATTAATTAGACTTCAAAAACAACCATTTACATTTTTTAGCAACAAGCCAATTCCACATCAGCCGTTCTTTTTCCTAAGCAATACTTCTGTTTATTAGCAAAAAGAGTTTTTCTGCAATTATGGATGTTCCATAGCAAGCAGTGATTACCAAGAACAAATTAATTTTTTGCCATCAGTCACTTCAATAGAAGCCATTGACTCCCATTGTTTTCCATAGCATACAGTGACTTTCCATAGCAACTTAATTTCATAGCTATAATTAACTTTCCTTAGAAACTATTGACTTTTAATCAACCATTGACATTCATAGTAACAACTACCTTCCAAGGACACCAATGGTTCTGTATAGACACCAGTGCATTCTTTAATAACTAATGACTTTTTCTCAGCAATAACAACCTGTAAACCTTTTTTTACATTTGCAGGATTTCAGATGCAGATATGACCTTTGTGATATCAGTAAAAGATTAATACTTTATATCTGCTTTTCATTGATAGTAAACAGTGTTAATTGCCCCTTGTCACCAAGAGCCTTTATAATAAGGAGAGCCATTATGACTCTTGTCAGCAAATTTTGTTTTTTCATGTCTTATATTTTTTATTACATGCTTTTCGATGGTTTATAGAAATATATCAGTGATTTAAAACTGGTAATTTCACTGTTTGAAACAGTGAAATTACCACTTTGATAATTTCACTGCTTTGAATTTAAGCCCCTTACGTTGTTTCAGTGAAATACCAGCGTGCACAGAACTGGGTACCAACTTAATGACGTGACTTCATAAATGACGTCACGTTGTATTATTATTTGGCGCGCTTTTCATTCAGTATTAGGTTTAATGTCTTTTTAAAACGTTTCTATGCATATAATAAAAAGAAAATTTGTTTAGTTTAGTGTAAGATCGAAATATATTTCACCTTGTGAACACCAAAAGTTCATATTTCACTCGTGGCTGCACCACTCGTGAAATATACCTTTTGGTGCTCACTCGGTGAAATATATTCCGATCTTACACTGAACTAAACAAATATCTTCTATATAAACAGATAAATTGTTGGGTCAACATCTACTATAAACACTTATAAAGATCGTCAAACATCGAAACTTCAATGATAAAGTTGTATTAAATTCCGGTTTTAGATACTGATTCGTCTAAGTTCTCCAGCATTGAATATTCAGCAAACAATTGCCGAATTTATATCTTGCCCTCTTGATCTGGAAGAAGAGAGAAGGATACAGGAAGAAATAAAAAAGTGGAAGGACTGTGAAGCCGATGTTGACCGACTGAAACTAGAAATGACAGACGTGAAAGAAAATGTAACTGAAGTGAAGAAAGACTTTGAAGACATAAAGGTAAATTTAACGGATGTGAAGAAAGACCTTGAAGACGTAAAAGAAAATGACACTGCAATGAAGAGATACATTGAAGACATAAAGGAAAATGTAACTGATGTGAAGAAAGACATTGATGAGATCAAAAGATGGCAAGGGACAGGTTTGTTATTTCTAAGCTTAAATATTTTATTGTTTAATGAATTAGACATTATTGAGATATCTTAAGAAAGGCTGAGAAAAGAATATACAAGAATACAAATAAATGCTATGAAACTTTTATTGTTTACAAGTTTACATGTCAATAGCAATAATTCTTAAAAATGCATTTTATAAATCAATATAATACAGTCATGTACATGTACTTCTTAGCGTTTTGATCCTGACATTTCCAATTCGTGATAACTATTCACTCGTTTATTTTTCGTGAGATGTTTTTGACAAACTTCACAAATCTCCGCTTCCGGTTTGATATTGCAGATAATTCCCTTTCCAGGTCATTGCCTTTACCAGAAAAATCAACAATATAGCAGTGTTTAAGAAAAAACGAAAATTGTCTCTTTTGAAGACTTGGTAAACATTTGGCATGGCATTATTATTATAAACGATTCCTTCCACTCTCTAAATATTAAATGTAAATCTACAATATTTCTAAGTTTTTAATCACCAGTAACTTCAAGAAAATCTGAAAAAATGCCGCAGAATCTATTAAATGTAACCGAATATTCCTAACATTTGCGTGTAATTTGTCAAAACAAACATGCACATCAATCAATCTGGTGGATGATACGAGTGATAAATACTTATATAATAATTACAGCAATACGTAACAGTTTCTTTCAGTCTTGTGTCCTAAACATGCTCATTAAATGCCTTTAAATGAACTGTCAACCTTTTTACATTCAACCATATAACCCCTTCCAACAGGAAATACTTACTCATTTATTATTTACATGAAACTTTTTTAGTTATTTGAGATTCATGTACATAAATGAAGGATCACCATTGAATATACTTATATGATGTCATTTTATTGCTACACCCCGCACAACAGAAATTGTTAGAGGTGTTCAAAAGCTTGAGGCTGACCGTAGGTCAGGTTGTCTGGTTGTCTTTCTGCACCTTTTTCTGAAACCGCTGAACAGATTTTAATGAAACTTGAAAAGAAATGTTCATGATTTCTTCTTGCACATATTGTTAGGAATATGATTCGATCAATCAATGACCTTGACCTTGAAAGTTAAGTCCTTGATTTTGCCGAAATTGGATATAATTGACTTGAACTTGTTATTAATGTTTGTATTCATACTTTGACATAACAACCCTTTAACAATACCTTCAGACTGATAACTTGATGTGATCTGGACCTCAATTTGACATTGACGTTAATGATAAAAATAATGTACTGAATTTTGCTCTAATTGATCATTTTTTCGTTATTAACGAGTGGTTTGGTTAATTCTTGGTCAAAACAGCTTATTCAAAATCAGTTTTGATGAGCAACTCAAGTTTTTCCTTAAGCTTAAAATGACATTGACTTTTAAGGTCGAAATATTGAGTTTTGTTAAAATTGGCTAGAAAAATTGTATAGGGCAAATCAGTTTATAAGGTAATGTCTTCAAGTAGGTCAAACTGAACTTTATCTTGGCGTTCATATAGCCTTGACTGGCATATGGTATTCTTTATTAATTTTTCCCTAAATTGATCATAACCTTTTTATCAGTGGAGTTCTAAATACTCGGACAAACCATATAATTGTCGTGTTAAGTAGTTCAAGTATGACATTCACCTTACAAGACCTTGACAGGTTCGCCAAAAACATTGAATTTGCTCAGGTTTGCATACTTTTGTAATTAGTAGACTGATCTGATTTATATTGGAATAAATACCGTAATAGTGTATAAATCTAAGTATGTCATTGTCCTTTAAAGTCAAATTATTGAAATTTCATACATTTAGTCAACGTTTTACACTTTGTAATCAACCATATAACCCCTTCCAACAGGAAATACTTAATATATTAATAAATAAATAGTTTTTGAAAAATAAAGTGGTGACATTGACTTCTTTCAACATATTATTTTATTTTTTTTTGTATTTTATAACAGAGAAAAATAACGAAACCGATTCACCAGTACAAACAGAGGAGAGAAAATATCAAAATTACAAGAAGGGTAAGTTAATTTTACACAACCTACATGTTAAGTAAAACAGTGTGTTTTTCTGTCGTCAGTACATGTCATCTTTCTCGGAGTGTTAGAGTTGTTTACATCCTTTTTGCAACAATATCTTATAGTGACATCGAGTCAGATGGCAAGGGCGGCAGCTGCCGTCCAAATAATTTGCCAGATTACTGTCATCGGTGTCCAATGCGACTGACATTGACATGAATTTGTGTCGATACGTTGTAAACAATTCGATTCTTACACGGTAAGATAACTAGTTCTACAAATCAGAGACATAGATATCTATATCTCTGTACAAATACATTATGCCGCAAAATTTGTTGAAAATCTTTGTTGCCTTTCAAAGCCCCAATTTAATAAAAAGTGTTATTCAAAACTATTCATTGAAGGTATGTATATTAACAATTATATATGTACGCGACTGAAATGGGGGTGTTCCCTCAGAAGCAAAGTCGACAAAATATACACAAAAAATGCAGACTCGGTTTGATTGAGTCTATTCAAGACGGACAATAGAAAAGTGCAACATCCTTCGCGCTTCCTTGCACCGGCTTTTAAAGTGGTATTCATTTGTCAACCATTAAAGTGCTAAATTATCAATGATCCAAAGGGCTTGAAAAATAATATTAACAACTGCGAACATACGACCATATTTTGTAATGACTGTAAATGTTTGACTATATTTAACGAGTTTGTAATCATTTGTATATGGTTGCCTGAAATGAGATAATTTGAAATGTCAACATAAAATAATATCGAATATAGATTATATGATATAAAAGCCCTTATTGCAGCTCGATGATGTGAATAATAAACGTAACGTAAACAATACCGTTGTCAGTTCATCAAAAAAGCTAGGATGAAAACATCAAAAAGTCTGGGAAAAAGAGCAATTTTCAATTTCAGTTTTAAAATTTTCTATGGCAGGGGAATAACCTCTTAGCAGGTAATAGGTACACCTTGCCGCTTTAATGTCCGAAATCATGTGATTAACCTGAGATGTAACACTTATCTAACGAAACAAAAGCCCCTTATTATGGCAAACTTATTAACTGTGACATCCATTTTACTTCATTAATCTGTCCTTTTATGTACATTTACCTCGAGTGTCGGTAAGCTTAAACTATTTCAACAAGTTGCGTCAACATTTTTTATAAACAGAAAGGTTATGTTTCTGCATATAATGTTGGCAATTAACATATACAAGGCACTGTTAATTTCCAAACAATTACATAAACAGCCCTTTTTAGCAACGTATGAAAACCTGTTTGCGATTTTAATACTACGGTATGAATAGCCTCTTTCCGCAAGATGGATAAAACTGTTCGAAAAGAATAAACTTGTATGTTTAGCCACTTCCGACAGGTTCAATATAATGAGAATTTTAGCCTCTGTCCGCAATTTGATATAATAGTTTCAATTATTGACATAAAACATTACTTCGGCATCTAAGAGTCGGATATAACGGCATTTAACGCTTCTATCAGCAAGTGGGGTATAACGGTATTTACTGCCTCTGTCAGCAAGTGGGATATAACAGTATTTACTGCCTCTGTAAACCAGTGGGATTTAAAAGAATTTACTGCCTCTGTCCACAAGTAAGAGATAACGGTATTTACTGCCTCTGTCAACAAGTGGGATATAACGGTATTTACTGTCTTTGTCAGCAAGTGGGTATAACAGTATTTACTGCCTCTGTCAGCAAGTGGGATATAACAGTATTTACTGCCTCTGTAAACAAGTGGGATATAACAGTATTTACTGCCTCTGTCAGCAAGTGGGATATAACAGTATATAAATAACACATGGGTTTGTGGGTAACAGTAAAAATATCATCCCGAGGAAAATACTGTTACCCGAGGCGTAGCCGAGGGTAACAGTATTTTTACGAGGGCTGATATTTTACTGTTACTCACAAACCCATGTGTTATTTATTTTATTATCCCGAACAAAAATACTGTGATGATCTGAAATTGTCAACTAAATCTAACTGTAACAAAAAAAACAAGAGTAACAAAACTAAACTGTCCTTACCTTTTAAGCTTTAAGTGTACTTTAGGCCTACTTGAGAAATTTTCTTTTTCTTTTATTCTTTAAGCAAGTGATGATATCTACAAATCATAAACATACAATAAGCTAGGTTTTATTTAGAAAACAAAACACTAACCCATTTACACGGTTATGATCTGTGAAATCTGATCCTTCTGTTTCCAGAATATTCTTAGCATGGTTTTGACAAAATAACGATGATATCCTATGTTTGTCCACCATATCTGTAACGTTTCACTGATTAAAATTGTTAAATAATCCTTTGTTGCATGCTTAAATCGTCTGCATGTTCCAGTTTGACACATAATTATTGGAGAGGTCATCAATACACTTGGAGTATTATTCAACTTGGATATTAAGTAATTTAGTGCCAGATTTATTGGAGCTTGGATTTTGAAATAGATTTAATTATTCTTGTGGATTTTATTGTTGGAATTATTCTAAAGTGTTCTTGGATTTAACTTGGATTTATCTGTGCTGTTCAAAAAAAAGGATCATTCCAGGATCAGATTAGACATTTAAGATTTACATTTTTATTTGGACTTCATGTATTTATAAGCATAAATTGTATTTCAATTTTTCTTTAATAATTTTTCTGTAATAAATTTGTTATTGTTACAAGTTTGTTGCTGGCTTTTCTTTCTCGTTACGCCTGGCTCGTAACACAATAGCCATTTATATGTAGTAGATCAGAATAATTTATCATTCTTGTGTCCTGCATACCTCTGGAGTGAGATCTATCCGCCTATGAAGTTTCATGTTGATATCTCAAATGCTTTTGTAGTTATGCTCTGGACAAAAATTAAATATGAAAAATAACAAAGGGCAATAACTGAAAAATAATGCACGTAAGGTTAAAAGTTTTGTGTGCTGCACTCCTCCCCAATGAGATCTATCCACCTTTGAAGTTTCTAGTTGATACCTTTAATACTTTTTGAGATAAGCTCCGGACAAAAAGCATGAAAAAAACAAAAGGCAATAACTAATAATTATAAAGAGTATCATATTTGCGCACAGCATTCCTCCCCAATAAGATTGACCCACCCATGAAGTTTCATGTTGACATCTCAAAGACTTTTGAGTTATGCTCCACTCAGGTGAAAAATAACGTATAAAAATTAACAATGGGCAATAACACAAAAATTATAAAGGGTAGAGTTATTTTTCTTGCTCATAACATTCCTCCTCAATAAGTTCTTTCCACCTAACGCAAGAAGTTAACATTTCAAAGACTTTTAAGCTCACCTGAGCTTGCTCAGGGTGAGCTTTTAGGATCTTTAATGTCCGTCGTCCGTCGTCTGTCGTGCGTCGTCCGTCCACATTTGTTCGTTAACACTCGAGCGGTCACATTTTTGCATCAATCATCATCAAACTTTGTCAGGATGCTAATCTAGTTGATAGCTCGGATGAGTTCGAACATGGGTCATCTCAGATGAAAAACTAGGTCACCGGAGCTAAAATAGAAAAACCTTGTTAACACTCTAGCGGTCACATTTTTGCCTCAATCATCATGAATCTTTGTCAGAATTTTTGTTTAGGTGATAGCTCGGATGAGTTCGAACATGGGTTATCTCGGATGAAAAGTAGGTCAAATGAGCTAAAAATAGAAAAATCTTGTTAACACTCTAGCGGTCACATTTTTGCCTCAATCATCATCAAACTTGGTCAGGATGCCTATGTGATAACTCGGATGAGTTCGAACATGGGTCCTCTCGGCTGAAAAACTAGGTCACAGGAACTAAAAATAGAAAAACCCTTGTTAACACTCTAGCGTCCACATGTGTGACTCAATCATCATCAAACTTGGTCAGAATGCTTTTCTATGTGATAACTCGGATGAGTTCGAACATGGGTCATCTCGGATGAAAAACTAGGTCACAGGAGCTGAAAATAGAAAAACCCTTTTTAACACTAACGTCTACATTTATGACTCAATCATCATAAAACTTGGTCAGAATTCTTGTCTAGGTGAAAGCTCGGATGAGTTTGAACATGGGTCATCTCGGATGAAAAACTATGTCACAGGAGCTTAAAATAGAAAAACCTTGTTAACACTCTAGTGGTTACATTTTTGACTCAAGTGTCATCAAATTATTTTGTTTTGTTTTTTTATATTCACATATCCTTTAAATTGGTCTATAAGTTTGTTTTGGTGATTTCTAGGTCAAATTCGAATATGGGTCATCTCGGATGAAAAACTAGGTCACACCACCCAAATATGGAAAAAGCTTGTTAACACTCTAATGGTCACATTTTTGACTCAATTATTCATCAAACCTGGTCAGGATGCTTGTCTTGGTAATTGTTCAGAAGAGTTCGAACATGGGTTATCTCGCATGAAAAACCAGGTCACCGGAGCTAAAAATAGAAAAATCTTGTTAACACTCTAGTGGCTACTATTCTAGGTCAAGTCCGAATATGGGTCACCTGGATTAAAAACTAGGTCACAGTGCTCAAATATGGATAATCCTTGTTAACACTCTAGTGGTCACATTTTTGACTCACCTGTCATGAAACTTGGTCAGAATGCTTGTCTAGGTAATTGTTCGGATGAGTTTGATGGGTCAGGTGAGCAATCTAGGGCCATCATGGCCCTCTTGTTTAGAGATATGCTCCACTCAGGTGAAAAATAAAGTATGAAAAATAACAAAGGGCAATAACTCAAAAATTATATTGGGTAGAGTTATTAATCTAGCGCACAACATTCCTCTTTAAGATCTATCCACCTAACGCAAGAATTTGACATCTCAAAGACTTTTTTAGAGAAATGAACCACTCAGGTGAAAAATGTAGTATGAAAAATAACAAAGGGCAATAACTCAAAAATTGGGAAATGTAGAGTTATCACACTTGTGCATTGCCTACCTCTTGAGTGAGATCTATCCACCTATTAAGTTTCATGTTGATATCTCAAAGGCTTTTGGAGTTATGCTCTGGAC